CGCTTCGAGCTATGCTATGGACCCTTGAAATGCAAAGTCCTTCTAGAATGGCAGGCATGCACTATTGCGCTGACATATGGTGGTGATCAGCTAGAAGTCGTCGAGAAAGTCAAGTATCGAGGCAGCTATATCAGCGCCTGCGGAATTGAAGAAGAGATCATAAAGTGCATAGCAAAAGGTTGTGGCGCTTATGCAAATCGCTGCCATCTGTGGCACAAGCGCGACATCACTTCCCCTGATGAATAAATTTTACAATGCAGCCCTACGTTCAATCCACTTGCACGGTTGCGAAACCTGGCCCATCAAGTCGACAGACCACAAGAGGATTGTTACGTATGACCACCGCTCCCTTAGCAGCATAGCTCATGTCTGATGGGAACACCGAGTGAGCAATGAGCGTGTTCGGTGTCACTCGTAAAACCCTCTCCAGCTCCATTTTGTCCCGGACGAGACAGGGTGGACAAGCCTGGGTGCAGTATTCCAGATGAAGCCGAAAGAAAGTACAAGTTCAAACGGCACTAAAACAGTAGGATAAAATCCCGTGAATGTTCCTTCAGTGGCGTATCGTTGATCTAGGGTATTATTCGTTCGCGATAACCGGAATCTAGAATAGTCAGATCAGCGCGCGCGAATCACACCACGGTCAACCAATTAATACCCACGCGACCTGTGGTGGCAATCCACGCCGCACCGGTCAGGTGAAATAAGAAACAGAAGTGCGAAAGTAATAAGACCGTTAAGAGCAAAAAGTAACAGATTTAATAATTCAATAAGACGAATAAGCCAAGAAGTGAAGGGATATGTTAAGAATTGAAGGCCAAGAGCGTAAAGTCGGTATGCGAACTCTTTCACCGTTGGTGCTGATACCACGTTCTCGGGCGGTGTACGCCAGAAATACACCACTCGGCGTGACTAAACGAAGTCCGCCCGGACTACATCCGATCGTAGTTTGTGTAGTTCCATCGAGTGATCTCTGAGAGATGGAAGCCGAGCCGGTTGGAAAAGCCTAGAAAAATCTGGTCCGATTTTACCGTTAAGTATGCGATAGGTCAGGATCAGGTCGCTTCGGCGGCAACGATAATGCATTTAGAACATTCCCAGCTCAAGTAATCTTTCTGGGTAAGAAAGGTTCCGTAGTCCATGAACCATTTTGGTTCTAACTCGCAACACTCCACTGAGGCCCTGTCCCTGACTCAGCAATGTGGACAAGCCAGGATGCAGTATTCCAAGTGTGGCCTGATAAAGGCTGAGAATAACCTAACAAAGATATCGCGCGTGATGGTCCCGAATGCCCTGCGGATCATCCACAAGATTTTGAAACCTTTGCACGTAGCTTTCCTCCAGTTCTCACTGGATTTAAGCTCACAAGACGTGACTCACTAAGTCTAGCAGTTAGGAAACATGCTGTAATTCATTCCCGCTAGGCAGGTAACGCGCTTGGGGGCCATTTGGCCCTAATTGTATGATGGGACACTGCATAATTTATGGGAAACTGCTACAGAGCAGCCCAATCCCAAAGTTTATCGAGGGCCCGTTGCACTGGAATCTATCGAGGTCAGATACTGTGTGCCAAAACTTAAGGTCATCTGCAAGCATGAGAGATGGTACTCCCCAGCAGTTCAGGCAGCTCATTGACATACAGAGAAAATAACAATGGGCCAAACATTGAACCCTGAGGGATCCCACTGAGGACTGACTGACTGACGGAAAGACAGACTAGACCCCACACGAACACACATCTCGTTCCCTTCCAGAAACGTGGTGACCCATTGTGGTGCACGCCGTTATTCCATAGGACCGAAGCTTAAAGGAGAGGGGAGAACGTGGTAGTGTCGAACGCATTGGGGAAGTTAATAAACAGTACATCTGCTGCATGACCCCGATCTAAAACATCCACCCAACGCTTGCGTGCAACTAGCAAATTAGTCATGCAGGAGTGATCCTTGCGAAAGCCGTGTTGAAGTGGACTGAGCAGACCACTGCCGCAGTTGGTTTTTAAGCCCATCCCTGACGAACTTCTCCAACATCTTGACCAGTACGCTTGTCAAACTTACCGGTCTATAATTGGCAGGGAGAGGCTTGTCGCCCTTTTTAGAAATTGGACAGACAATAGCATCCTTGCAGTCCTTGGGAAAGGAGCAGCTATGAAGCGATAGCTGAAACAAGTGTCATTGAGCCACATAGCTCGCTTTCGAGTTCGTACAAAAACTTTGGGTGGATATCATCCATCCTGGCAAATTTAGCCCCTGAAGATGAAGAACTTATGCCTTTGAAATTGAGACGTCCGTTATACTGGAGTCCTGGGGGATTCTCGTCGCTAAGTCAAGGTGCGGAAACTGCTCAAACCGAACAAAAGGCCCGGCATACTGCGCACTGAGTAGAGAGGCTTTTTGGTGATCAGTGTTGGCAGTGGCGCCGTCGCAGCCTAATAAGAATGGGATAGATGAGCCAACGTAACTACACCTTTTGACACAGGCAAAGAAAAGTTTGTGGTTTGCGGAGGCTGAGTTAGCCAGCTCTATCTCATAGGTAAGTTTAGCAGCTCGTAAATGACTCTTGCAAGCATTCCACGCTTCACGATTACGCCGAAAAGTACATTCCGAGAGAACTGTCAGATAGGTCCGCCAGCCTCTCGCCCGTCTATTTATTAGCTGGTGTACGACTGAGTCTAATCATGATGGCTTTGCTTTGGTAATCTTCACCGAAAAAGGGATGTGGGGTGCGATATACTAGAGAGGAAGGACAAATGTATCCCAAGCCGTCTGTATAACATCATGCGGCAAGATGACGCATGGAGAACTTACTGCCTTAGCTTTAATAGACTGAAAGTCGGCGTGACAAATGTTCGGATTTCGGACTCGGCGTGAATCGTAGTCTATAAAGAGAGAACAGTTGAATGACAAGCAAACATGGTCACTGGCTCCCAAAGGGGCCATACTCAAGGTCAAGCACAAAGTCAACGGACTTTGCGAAAAGTAAGTCCAAGAGAGAAGGAGCATGACCCATGTGTCTGGGAGGTCGATCGACAAACTGCTGTAGTGGTACTTTCAGTGTCAAGTCAACGAGCTCTGCAACCAACCCTTTTGTTGCTGCGTCATAAGATATGTCATGCCAATTTACTTTAGACGTTTAAGTCCCCCATTATTAAGCATCTGTTGGCAGAGTGAGTGCGGACGAGGTCAAAGAAACTCCTAGAAGCACTATCAGGACTCCTATACAACAGCATAATTTTAAGTTGCGTTGACTCAGTAGACTTCAACTGCAAGAGCTTCAACAGTTCTATCAGCTGAGTTAAAGTATGTTTCTGATATGTTTACACCACATCCGATGTACAGGACGATTCTACCTCCACCGCGATAAGATCGGCGGTCATATCTCAGTATTGCGTAGCTCGGAACGCATAATTCACTGTCCATGACGTCAGAAGGCAACCATGTTTCAGTGAACGCGAGTATTTCAGGATGGAAGTTGTCTATTAGGGCCCCAACTTCACACTTGTTTCGCAGGCTACGCACATTACTATGAACTATGTGAAGACGTATGGTATGGAGAGCCTCGAGTTGTGTGCTACCAGAATGGGCTCTGGTAGGGCGGAAGTGGACCGCCGGCTCACCACCCGAAAACCCACCAAACATAAACTTCCTCGCCAGCTTCTCGACGCGCTTAAGCTTTATCCTATACGCTAGTAGATCCGGCTGTATACTCACTTCGGAAACCTTTTAGTTTAAAGACTAAGCGCAAAAGAGCTTAGCGCTCCTCCAGCGTAAACAGGAACACGCGTAATAGACGGGGCCTACTTTGAATACTGTCACCCGAGATGTTCCCAAACCCAGTAAGTTTTCTAATCGTAACCCCAGGAAACCCGGGCGGAATTAGTTTAGAAATACAAAGTTTGAAACAGTGAACGTCGTCAAGCATGCGATTTGTTGGAAGAGCCGCAAAGGACTCCGAGATATTCCTAGATAACGCTGCAGTCCGTAAATGCATCACTACGACGAGGGGTCTTTACTGCACGAGTCTGAAGTAGCGACCGGCGCAGCGTCCCAGTTCATATCCTCCTTAGTAGGAACAGCAGATGCACAGGATAAGGATTCCGACAATGAGATGGAAGTGTTCTACCTCCGTTACCGTGACGGAGTATCGATAGAGCTCACCGCTACATCTTTTAGCTTGGTGTTGGTTGCACTGATGGGTTTCTTTATCTTACGTTGCTTTATCTTTGCAGATACACAAGCCAAAAAACTTCCCACTCACAGCTGAGTTCAATATAAAGTCAGAATGTTTACCATCTTCAGGCGCCGCCCAAAGTGCTGGTGAATCCTTCGAAGCCGTACTGTTTATGCAGTCGTCTGAACGCATTTTTGCTCCGATAACACATGTACGTTCAAGGGTTACGATGAGTTGATCAATGTTCCCCTATAAAGAACTAAACAAAGATAGAAGGGTACCCACCCTACCCACCAATGTTTCAAAATAGTCATTGGGGACTAGACGATATGCTTTGTGCTTAACACAATTAATGCAATTATAAGGTAAATCATCGCCGTATGCTAGGAGGATACACTGCCGTCTATCCAACACAGTGCAAATCACATAGAACCAACGACTGCAGAGGTCACATTGCATGCCACCCGAGGAACCAAAAACTGGTTCTGAGCAACTAGCTTTACCACAAACACCTGATGAATCGGTTACTGGATCCGAGGGCGAGTCTGAACCGTATTTGTTTACCAGAAGGAAAAAGGAAAAGTTTTAGACAAAATGAGCCTGAACCGTGGAAGGGTAGGCAACAATGCAGTCAGCGAGAGCAGCTATCAGACAAAAACTGGAGTGACACGTTTGCACAGAAAACAGCCTCACATAGCACCGAGACGGAATGATTTTCAATCAAACTTTATTTGTGCTTACGCTATGCCTAGCAGTCTTAAGTAAATAAAGCGACACAAAACGGTTGTTCTAAGAGATGGAGTAGGTGGAACAACCCGAAGAGGACAACGTACATCAGGAGACCGTGCAGACGCAAGGACGACTGCGAATAGTAAAAATATATATAGTTAATGTATCAAACGTTTGAATGTAGTTCACTTTGAAAACATTGTCGTAAGTTTAAAGCCCATAGCAAATTATGTAAAACTATACGACTAATTTTGTGTAGCATTGAGGCTCTATATAAACTAAAATTAACGTGCCTAGCAGAAGGTAAAAGCATTTGTACGTTTTTAAAAGGAATTGCGAAGAACAACTTGTATGTACTATTTTATAAAATTAGTTAATTATACGACTCACCTTAACCTCTTAACTATAATTCTATCTCCAGCGAACTGCTAAATGATTGTTGATTTTCCGGGTTATATTTAGATATTAATATTACAAGTTCAAGTTCATTTACGACCGGAACGATAGGAAAATCTTGTGCATGTTCCTTCTTTTGCTTATAGTTGGAAGGGAATTTGATGGCTGCTGGAGATGTTAGAAAGTCTAAAACAAAGACCGCATCACTCTATATAAAACCAAATGCTGAACATTTTTTCTGCCTAGCCATCCCTGCCAGGCCAGTTTATGTGAACTAAGACATTCGAGGGTAAGCCAAGGAGACAGTGGGATGAATGTCAGCTAAATACTGATAATACCAGTGCGCCCGAAGCAATTTAAAAAATAACGCACGTGAAGTTGAAGTTATATGTCGGTTAGGAAAAGGGGAAGATTCGGTACTGCCACCTAAGGCATCTAACTGACGCTCGAAACCCTCAACTGTTAACTCCCTAACGACGTGCTCCGGAAGCGAGTTCCAAGGTTCCATACGGCGGAGTTTTCGTCCTTATCCGGTCAAAACACCTTTTGCACAGCTTTAACGGGGGTCCCCGGAGACTAGGCAGCTTGGCGGAAATAAATAGCTAGGACAAGTCTGGACCGATAGTACCCGTTAGGATACGGTATGTAGCGATCAAGTCTCCTCTAATTCTCTAACAGGTGTAATGAGTACCAACCCAATCTAATCAAACATTCGGGATAGGTTTGCCCCTGTAATCACAGCACTAACTTTGTACCCACACGTAAAACCCTCTCCAATTCCATGTTATCCTTAGAAAACAACGTGGATGCAAAGTCCAAAAGGATCATTGATGTATCCCCAACCTGGATTGCTTACGTAAAGAGTCGGTATTTCTATTACTTGATTATACTGCTCATTTTAAATTGCTTTACTCACTGTCCTACAGGCGGTTACCATATCGTGTATTCATTCCGTTCATTCGACCACTGCCATATCCTAGACGGTTCAAGGTCTACAAATTGTTAGGTTACTCTGACACTGCCCAAATACTCGAACGCCGGCTCACGCTGTACATTTTCTGTCCCCTTGCACTACGATTGCAACACCTATCCGCAAGTTACGTACTGTATTTAATATGCCTGACAGAAACACGGTTACAGGATACTTTGTTTTATTCTTCTGCCCAAACCGTGCGTTAAGTCTAGGTTCTTTGGACCTTAGTTCCTAGATTAGTTTTCGTACGACGTACGTAGGCTAAGCTTGGTACAGTTGGTACAGTGGACAAGCCTGGATACATCACCGTAAGCATGGTCGCACAAAAGCTGAGAACTGCTGCACAAAACTCTTGGTTGTTAGGACACTGAAGGAGCAGCGAACAAACCACATCCTACGGAAACTATTACAAGCAACCTTCCTCCAAATATCCTCAGAGTGAGGCACTGAAGTGTGGATGATAAATAGATCAAGCTACTGGTGACAACAGGGATTTCACCTCCACCAATTACATAACGCGTGGAGTGACTAGCACATCCAATTGGGAGAACAGCGTATTTCGCCTGATTTATAGGCAGCAAGCACAATGTTGACTAAGCCGATTGCTTACCAAAGGGTAAAGAAAGTGCTTAAGTGTCCCAGGGATATTCAAAATATTCTAGAGCTTGAGGTCATCCGCAAACAATAGCGACGGTACTTTAAGCTCCTAGGGTAGGTGCTTGATATAAACTGCAAAAAGCAACAGCCCTAGAACCGATAGCTGCAGGTGGCCACTAATAAAACTTGTCTAAGCAAAATGCTACGGCGCACTCCTATACACTGTCCTCTCCCCTCTATGAAGGCAGACACCTATATAAAGACAGCTGCGGATATCCCATACGATCTCAACCATAATAAGCGTCGTTTATAAACAAAGAGAATAAATATGTTTTTTGTTTCTCAGATATATGAACGCAAACTTACACGGACTTGATCAAAAGCTGCAAGCAATATGTTGCACAAAAGCTATGTTACAACGCACATACATGGCTGTGGCAAAAATTAGTGCAATTTGCAGAAACAGACAAAGTACAACTATGGAGCTAAGTAATCAGTGGGGTAGGGATAAAATTCTTGCATGTGTGTATGGAATAACCAGAAAAGCAGGGTAGGTGGGGTAGTGACAGTATGTGAAGCCTGAAGGTATCTTCGTTGTACCTGTCAGTAGAACAGAAAACACTGACATTCGTAAATATTTCAGAGTGTAACTGTGGGCAGTGACTTTATTCAGGGGCGGGTCACATCCGCCACGTCACAGTGTTAATAACTGGACTTTTGTGGCTTTTATGGGTAGAACGCTTGCAAGGCGAATGCCTGCCGCGTCCTGGAGCACTCACGTCGAGTGTTTGAACGGTCATGTACAACTGGCCAAGCTTCTTATCAGGCATGTGTTCATTAATTTGTCGCAAATTCCTACTGCTTCTCTTACCTGTAGGGGTTTGGTTTTTCCCTTCACCTGGACACCACCTGCCTACTGTGCTCTAACGACTTATATTTCACGCCGTAGCTCCGCACTTTCATGCGGGGTACTGCTGTCAAATTTTTCATATTTACAGGTTCAAAGCGTCGCTGGATCCTCTTTTGTACCTCCCCTTCAACCAAAGACAAATCTTTTGTAAATCGACGCTCCTCTTACCATGTCCATTTCTCTCTTATCTAGGTCGGAGTCTTCTACGTACTAAGTGCCGAAACTTTCCTCTCAGTTATCCCTGTCCATCTGACTTAATTGTGACACCGTAGAGCTCCACCTTCGGCTCAGTTAGTCTATTAAGGCGCCGCTGTGCCAGTTTATTTCACGGTTTACTCACCTGATTTGATGACCCCGCCAAGGTTTTATTGCCGCAGCAGTTGGTGTAAGTACTCTTCGCTCCCATGAGATATTCTGTTTGTCACAACTGTGTGCTTCACCATCTTTCCTTGGGTGCACTGCTCTACGTAGTCTGACACCTAGTTTCTGTACACCGGTTTCCTACACCCAACCCCAATATTGGAGGGCACACACAAACGTATGACGCCATATTTTAGAGATACACATATAAAACGAGGTAAAATGTTTGACATGGCTCGAGGTCGCCAGATCTCCTTAATGCTTTCTATGTTCGTAGTCTTTCTTTTCTGTGACCTTTTCTTCCTAGCCCCTCAACGAGGCCTGCATAGGAATGATGAATAAAGATTTCTAAAGTATTTTTCTATAAATATGACCCATAGAAATACGTGGACAGCACATGCCACCCCCTCGGACATTCTGTCCCCTTGCTATGCATCATCTAGCGGTTGGAACGATTGTGTTCAAATCATTTTCACCTTCAGAACAACACTTCAGGAAAGATTCATCTCTCTGCAAGTGTTTAACTTAGTTACGAGGCCATGGCGTTTTATTTCGTCGACCTCCCCAGTGGATTATTTCTGGTACCAGATCCTTCATATGCTTGGCGTCAGTACCGGTTGGATACGTTACCCACCTCTCCAGTAGAATGTGCCATTAATTCTATACCCCTGGAAGCTTATCTATTATGAAAGCTTCTTGATCCGTACCATTAACTGGTTTGAACACTTGATTTTTAATCATTATTCCCTCCGGAACATCACCAAAAATGTTTCATCTCCTTGCAAGTTATCTGATCATGCCCCCACGAGCGTGCCTCGCGTAGTCAAGAATAAAATATTTATTTATTTATTTATTTATTAACATGCGAAGCCACGGCTTATGCTCCTTCCACATCACCAGTAGATAATTTCTCCTGAAAGCCATTTGATCCGTATATTCTACGGGTCTGAACAAATTTGATCAAATCGTCATCATTATCGTACCATAGCCTGACAAGCAAGTTCCTCTCCCTGCAAGCGTTCAAAGTACTTGCAATTTCATGGCGTTATGCTCCGTCCATTAATCCAATGGATTCTTTCTTCCTGGTATCAAAATCCTCATCTAACTGGCGCTATTCTACGATGGAAAGTTAACCCACCTTGCCAGTGTGGCACGCAAATTTTATGCCTGTCCTATGTGTAGTATCTGTGGTCTACATTTCTGCGCTCGGCCGTGCCTGCTTTCAAAGACCACAGCAATCGCCGCGACCGTTCGAAACATCCTCTACATGCACGCGTTCCACTTAGCTGCAATGGTTATCTCTCGTGGACCCGCCAGCGACAACTTCCTGGCCGGTGCGTTGTTTACTCGGACGATGATACTGCTTATGATTTGAGTCCCATACTCACCAGCATAACGCGGCACCCCAATTTACACGGCCTATTTCCGAACGGTGCCGCCGTCCCCAACCATTACTGATAAATCCGGACTAAGCCTTCCGCTGAGTCAACGAAAAATCGGGTGTACCATGACAGGGATTAAACATTCGGTAAACCTGTCCTACAAAATCGTTATGAGTATCAACAGGTTATTTACAGTGTGGTCAATAGCAGTGTTCCAAGCGGTGGTGGGTTTAAGCCTGGCAAGCGTTCTCCCTATAAAAATCCACAAATGTCTGTTTAACGACACTGCGACATGGCGGAGGTGACGTGCCACCGAAATAAAGTCACTGTCCACTGCTTCACAAGGGGAATGCTCACGAGATCTCATATTTGCTTGCACAACTGGTTTATCAAACACTACATCGGTATCTTACGCCTACGAAAAATCGGAGCTCAACCTCCGGGAACATTCAAGTCCCACATAGCATTTCCGTAAAGGGAACACTTAATGATTTTACGGCGCTTCGGTGCCACGTTTCTCTTTGGCACCAATACTCATGTACATCAGCACTGCATAATTCTTATGCAAAATTAGGTGCAATTTTCTAGCCAGGTAATTTTGCCAACGCTTATTTCTGTCGAGTGGCGTACGCAGGCTGTTAGCGTTCCTGTGGCTTTGTCAACCAATTTATTACGCGTGCACTGGCGTGCCTAGTTTCATCGAGAATAAAATTATTTATTTATTTAATCTGTTGGCTAATTAAATAGTGGACAGAACCCAGCGTGGATGTTGAGGCCGGTGGAGCAGGTAGAATGATTTTGCAGATAAGTATAATTTCCAGTGTACGGAGGCTCACCTGCTCTGATTATATATATTTGCCAGAGTGTGAAGACTTCGTGTCCAGCTATCCTCACTAGACATCGGGGGTTGACGTTCTGGATGCAGATGTTTGGTTTTGAATTGAAGCCATGGTCCAGATAGATCCTTCATGTTTAGTTCGACCCATCCCATCTGGAGGCAACTCCTCATTTAAACCCGACATTGGAGGAAAGGGAAAGAGAGGAAGAGGCCGAGGGAAGACCAAAAAGGACAGTCATGGAACTAAGCAGTTGGAATATCCTAACGTAATACAATTATTTGAGACAAACTGATGTACAATGTGTCACAGATATTAGGCTGAACATGTTTTTGATCATGAAACAAAAGGCATGGACCAATGGGTAAATTGCTGTCACCTACATGATGGTGAAGAGCTTGGTTCCGGTAAGAAAGCTATGAGGTATTAGACTAGGGCGTTAGCATTCAATCGGAGACCAGAAGGTGACTAGGTAATCATGCTTAGTTGCAGTCGGAAACCAAATGATACCGTGATGATAAGGCGATATTTATATATATTCCAGAACTAGAGGATTATGGAAAGCCACAAAATAATTATTATATACATGGTATTAGAGGATAGGAAGCTGAGTTCATATATATCCCGGCTAGGAGTAAGTGGACATAAACAAGGGACTAGTTGTCGAAAATAGGACGATTGAGCGATGGCGCTAATAGACCGGGGATCAGCGCCTAAAAATAGTGGTTGTGTTAAGCATTCTAGTTACTAATGGACACCTACCTCGTCACAGCATGGGTCAACAAACTAGCACAAGTATGTTTGAAATCCTTCCACGAAAATCTAGTTGGTGGGGTATGGAGTTGTTTCCAGCGAGCCATAACTATGTACAAGGATGCAAGAGCTAATGCGGAATCGCGGTAGCTGGGATGTGTTGAATGTGAGACAAACGAAAGATAATAGCATTGGCGAACGGTTCATCACTGGCAAACTGTAGGCCCTGGATTAGGAACTTCTCTCACCCGTGGATACAAAATTAGTCACAAAGAAAGACAACAAATCAGCCAAGTTTAATGGTACAAACATTCCAGGTGACTAAGGGTTGTGGAGTTAAGGGGTGGCTCCTAGCAAACTCTAGATATGAGCAGTGATGTCGGGAGCTAACGGCCACTTGCTGCTTCAAAAAAAGATCCTAAAGGGAGATGAGTTACAGATAACGACGTTAAGGGAGAGCGCAGCTGGCAAAATGTAGTCAATCAAAGAACACGTTTGGTCAACGGTGGGTACCCACGGTGTCGCAGAAAAAAGCAAGGAATCAACAAAGTTAAGGGCTACAAACAGTTTAAGAGGGTAAAGGTTGGTAAATTAAGAATAAGCTACTTGAAAGCTTAGGATATGCGCAGCGACGCAGGAAACCTACAATGACTGAAAGAAGCTAAACGGAGGAGACGGAGTTTAGACAAACGACAGATAATGACGCTAGAGTAGAGCGCACCGGTGACCAGAAAAGGCAATCGGATTAAGTTTTCAGTTACTAATGGACACCTAGGTTTCGCAGAAGGCGCCAATAAACCAGCAGAGGTGTGACGTAAACAGTCCAAGAGAATAAAAGGTTTGGCGAAGTAGTGACCTCAAGCAGTTTCCCGATAAGTGTTGCGATGCATAAAGACCACGCCAGATCGCACCTGCCAAACTGAGTTGTCGAAGGTAAGACATGCGATAGAAAATGGAAGGTGCCCATGGCCAGATGTAGCCATTACATTAAGACGTTTGGTCACTAGTGGGTACTTGTTGTTCCGAAGAATGAATTAACGACAGAGCAAAGATGAGAAATAGAGACTTTGGAAGAAGATAAAGCCTGGAGATTAAAGGAGTGGCTTCTCCAAATCTACAGAGGTGCATATAGCAAAAATGAAGCGACGAGAGTAGGGCGTATGAGAGATAGCGGTGTTAGGAGAGAGTGATCATTGGCCAGCAATGACATTCTGATTAAGCCTTTAGTTACTGATGTTTATATAAATTGTCACAGAATAGCTCACCCAACTAGCAGAGCTTAGCTGCCAACAGCCCAGGAGAATAAATGTGAGGGATAAAGGGTGGCACCTAAAGAGCGCTGGATATGCGCAGAAATGCATGGAGCCAATGGCGAGTCGATGATGCTGAACCCAGATAATGGCGCTGGAAAATGGTGTATCGGCCAAGCAGGTACAGCCATTCGGTTGTGACTTTTGGTCATTAGTGTATGCTTAAAGTGCAACTACGTAACTCAAAAAACCGCCTGAGTTTTGATACAAACCTTCTAATAGAATGGAGGATGAAGCTAGCGACTGGCTCCTAGCAAACTCCCGCTACGCGCTGAGATGGATCGCACCTATGATGATTATTTGCCTGCAAAAATGAGGTAAGGAAGATAAGACGAACTACAGATAATGACGCTTGGAGAGATAGTAGCCGCTGTGAGCAATGGCGTTTTGTTAAATCCTTCTGGTTAAAGCAACAAACCAGCAATGGTATGCGTTGCAAGCAATCCAAGAGAATAGAAGTATCTTGTTAGATTTCGTGCCAGTAAAATGTAATGAAACTGCGAATGTTTTACCAGTAAACACGGTGGAAGACGAGGATCTGGTTTTCACTATGCCTGTCCACTAGTGTTGACAATATTGACAGGCACATATATAGCAGATAAAATAAGTATATGGGGCCAAGAGAGAATAAGAGTAGAGCAAAATGTCTGATTCTTGAGCCTATAACTTTGAACGTGCTTTCTTTATTGACCGGATGGAAGACAAATATTACTTTGCGTTCGGCGCACCAATTGTAGTTGGAAACGGCGGAGTAAATTAACTAGTACGCAGGCTTAATGAAAACGAATCCTTCAAGGCCAATTAGCGACTCACGTATGCAACAGTACATAGATACAACTGAAGCTGGTATTTAGACAATATATTGGCCAGTTCTAATGCTAACAGGTGTATCGACAACAACAATATGCTTCAAGCGCTTATAAAATGCTTAGGTCTGGTAGGATGCCTTTACTAGGGACACCTCATAATCCATAAGCCTATTAATTTTTCCACGGACCCAGTGGTCTAAGAATTTGGCAAGTGATAAGACCTAAACCTGAAGAAAATGAATGTAATTGTAGATAAGATGTAAGCGTCAAAGCTTTTCTGCTCGGATGGCTTCATTTTTGCCCTCCAATTTCCTTTACGAGGAGGAGCTACGGCCTTGCGAACCTGCCAATCCGTAGAGGAGGCTGTACGGTTTGTTTAACATTTTGACATTGACAAATCGATCATCGACAAATACAAGCCGGAGGTGGTTAGATACCTGTTGGTCCATGCAGCCCTTGGACCAGCGTGCCCGTGAAAGGACCGGTAGTTTTCAAGGACGGGGTACGTTTCGGCCTGGAAAGCGCTGTCCCTATAAAAAGCCACAAAGTTCTGGTTAACAACACTGTGCCATGGCGGAGGTGACTCGCCAGTAAATAGAGTCACCGTCTTTTGACCACACCACGGTGGCCAGTCATCCACTGCGATGGCTTTCTGTCTTCCCTCCTCGCGCAGAAGACCCGATGGAACACGATTACAAATGCGGATTCCATCGAACAAACCTTTAACCTGGTCATCAAAACGCGCACCTAAACATATAGGCACAATTATATTCAGTTTTTAACTAGTTAACTTATCACGATTTTTCTTCATTTACAGCTCCTTCGTACTGGCATTACCCTTATTATGCCTATGAAGGAGTGTCGCAAAGAAGTTAGCAGTAAACAAGTAGCACATTTATTTATTTATGACCGAACTTTCGCCTGTCAAGCAATATCACACCCAAAACCTACGTTTCTATACTCCATACTGTAATCAGGGACGCGTACAAGAATAAGAAACTCTGTGTCTATCCATAGCTTTTTCCAAACGCTGGTAGTACCTTGAATGCTTTTACTATGCGCACTAGAACTCAAAGTGTCGTCATCCATTGACGACCTTCCTTGTCATTTTTATTACCTCAATCTCCACAGCCTATGGAAAGTTCGGCCACTGCCGCTTACTTACATAGCAACCTGCCTGTTTCGAAGACTAGCTGCCTGTAAATTTTGCTCATGCCGGATTTGGTAGGTACTGCTACCGTCTAGAATAAATTAGTTATCTATTTATTTTGTACTTCCATGCACAGGGTCGCTTGCTTAAGCTGGCTGACCGGTGCCTACTTCAAGCGTCATACTGCTAGGACTTTACATTAATAACTGAAACATTGTTGCACTTAGAAAGGATAAATGCGGATGTCAATATGCATGTTATTTCTTTCTTACAAAAGTACCGCCCCAAAAATGCGGTGACGTACATTTATACTGGCCAATTTATCTGCGGTACGGAGCGGCGGGTTAGCCGAAACACTCCTTCGTGGTGCCAGCTAGGTGGATTGGGTTTACCCCGTTCCAAGAAACCGTCCGGCAGCAGTGTCGCAGGAAATGGTGGCTTTTCGCGTTGCTAGCGTTCTCTAAATAAAGGACCCCAAACATCTATATAACTACACTGTGACGTGGCGATTGCGATCCGTTACCAACTAAAGTCATCTACTTGCTTATCCTGTGTTATAGATTGCGTAGATTGCCTTAGTCGTCGCCGCTGTTATAATTGAGGGAACGCCGCCTCTTGAGATAATTGCGTAATTGCCTGATAAGAGGGTCGCTGGCACGCCTACGATAATTGCTTGTTACGCTGACCACTCGAACGGAATTGCGCTGTCCTGATGACGCTGGCTTAGCCGGTGAGACGGAAAATTGAACGAGCGTGGGAACGATCTTAGCCGCACTTGTTCGTATAGACGCTGAGGCCTCGAAAACGGACGCACACGAGAGGGGGTATGATAGACGCGCGCTAATGACTTAGACGCGAGGGCTGGCCAGTTAACGACTCGCACGCAATCACGCGACCCGACCGACTCCCAACTGAGGCGAAGAGAAAGAAAAGACAAGTGGTCCTCTGTAGGCTCTTTTACGACCAACAAAGGGCAATCACAGAGAGTGCTATGGGTTATTAAGTTAAGGAAAACTGTCACCACGAAGAGGTGGTAGTTTGTAAATGACCATTGTCAGAAGGTGCGCAGTTTGGGCCGCGTCTCGGAGTGGCTGAGCTCTGCTGCGTTGTGGGGAGGAATTGGCCCTCGCTTTCCACAGCCATTCTGCTGGGGTTTCTGGCGCGTTTTTGCGGGAATATTTGACGTGCCCGCAACACCTCCCTTTGAAGAGAAAGCGTACCGCTTCTGGCAAGGATTGACCTGGAGGGATTTCGGTGACCTCCGGATTCTTTCTGTTCGTCGGCAAGGTGGGTTTTCGAGACGCGGCGTCGATTGAGCGGCTTCGACCGTGGTCTCCCGTTGTGGAGCCATTCCAAAGGTATCCAGCAGGATGTGCAGCGGCAGGTGCACGGGATGGCTGGCTGGCGTGGAGGTTTCTCCGTGGCGCGGACGAAGTTGATTGCGATGGCGAACCCAGGTGTCATCACCCACGGAGACATCATGAAGCATATCACCTCGCCTGGCTGTCACTGTTGCTTTGATCCAGCGAGGATGACCTGCTCGGTAATCACGAGCGTAGACTGGGGCTCCGACGGCGAATTCTTTGTGTTTGGTGCCGGCACCAGAGTGAGTAGGTGGCTTCTCTGTCGGAATGAGCGCATCGTTTGTGGTGCGTAGCTTGCGGCCCATCAATGCTTCAGCTGGTGACTGGCATTCTGGCGTAGCTGGATTCGGTGTGGACCGGTACGAGAGAAGGAAGGCTTGAAGACACTCATCCACAGTCCCCTCCCCGCGAGATTTCAAAAGCGCCTTCTTGAATGTGTCGACAAATCGCTCCGCTTGACCATTGGATTGGGGATGGTAAGGCGGTGAGCGGAGGTGTTCGATGCAATGTCGGCGGCAAAAGTCTTCGAAGACAGAAGACGTGAACTGGGTACCATAGTCGGACACCAAGACTTCGGGAAGGCCATGTTGACTGAAGATTCGTTGGAGACAAGCCAGCGTGGCGGATGCGGTTGGGGGGTTGACGGCGACCACTTCCGGCCATTTGGAATAGGCGTCGACCACGACCAGATAGGAAGTGCCATCGATAGGACCAGCGTAATCGATGTGCACACGAGACCACGGTTTTGCTGGCGGATGCCAAGGAACTGATGATTGGTGTGGTGGCATCTTTGAGGCTTGTTGAGAATGCTGGAACACGGGGGCGGATTGATTGGCTTTGTCGTCAGTTCGGTCGTTTGGCATTTTCGGAGTGTGTACCACGCTACAGATGGCCCGAAGAGGAAGATCGGCCAAGCCAAGGGTTTCGAGCCAGTCGAGACCAAGCACGTTGAGCTTCGCCTTTGTAATGTAGCAGTTCGCGTTGAACGTGACGTCTCGGAAGGAGACGGAGCAGTGCAGTCGCCCAGTTAGCTGCACGCGGCCACCACAGGCGCTGGTGGCAGATTGGGTGGTCGGTTTGAACGGTGGCTTGCCACGGGATCGCCAGAGATCGTCGGAGATGATTGTGTGTGCATCGTTAGCTGGCCAGCCCTCGCGTCTAACTCATTAGCGCGCGTCTATCATACCCCCTCTCGTGTGCGTCCGTTTTCGAGGCCTCAGCGTCTATACGAACAAGTGCGGCTAAGATCGTTCCCACGCTCGTTCAATTTTCCGTCTCACCGGCTAAGCCAGCGTCATCAGGACAGCGCAATTCCGTTCGAGTGGTCAGCGTAAACAGCCATTATCGTAGGCGTGTCAGCGACCCTCTTGTGAGGCAAATACGCAATTATCTCAAGAGGCGGCGTTCCCTCAATTATAACAGCGGCGACGACTAAGGCATTCTACGCAATCTATAACATCCTGGAATGCACTTTTAAGTCTATTAACCTCAACCCTTTCTTAACACTGGAGACAAGGTCAAAAATGTAGTAATGCACACATGCTTACATGTATAAATGCATTCATTTATTCACATATGTAAAACCCTATCGTTCCATTGTATATTAACACATTTTGTACTCTTTCAGTGCCTATGCGTGTGCAGGCGTACATTGCTTAGTCGATAATAAACATTATATTAATTTATATGTTAACACGGATCATGTATACACGCTAGGACAATCCGCGATTGAGACGCAACAACACTTGCTTTGTGGCAGATTTTTCTCGTCACCCAGGGTCCACGTAGAAATGAACTCTCTTTTAATATTAAATTCAATTGTATTTAGTGTTATGGGTCTGGAAGTTCGGAAACACCAACGTGTAATTTAAAGCTGAACTCACAAGGGTTCCAAACTTCATCCATATCGATTCGACCACCAGGTTCGAGGCGAGACGCAAACTGTCTGGGCTTGGTTTGGTGCACATGAACGAGGCCATAGCCGCATCTGCGAAAAACTATAATCAACTCAAAAACAACTGTTGGCTTTCGTCTTCGCTCTTCAGTACCTACAAACTATTTCATACGGAGGGTGTTACCCACTAGTGACGATCACAAGCCGCTATTCGCGACCTTTGGATAAACAATGAGTATGCCGGCCTACAGGTTAGCCGACTTCAGATTTGGGCGAATTTGCTCCTAGGACACTATTTCAAGATGTGATAGTTGCCCGATGATTCTATTAAGCAAGCAGTTGCCCCATCCGATTTAATCCATACCACCAGATGCGAGCCAGAACCTGCAGTTTTTGCCTCAATGGCAGGCGGGACAGATATCAGCTAACTGAGAGCAACGCTGTATGTAACTAGCTGGCAAAAAGCAGGGCGGTTAAGCAAGCTAAAAACAGAACCCATTACTCTAAAACGTGTTAACCTTCATGCGACACGGCTGGCCGACGAAGTGCGCTTAGGAAGCGCTTGCCAAGTTTTGCAAGCGAAGAAAATCTTTATCCAAGTCCATACTCGTCCGTTTTTGCCGGTTCATATTATCATACAAGAAGCATTCCGGAAGCACAATTTAAGGCAACTAGACACGAGCTAGTCATGATCGCCCGCATGTAGGCACTTACGCGGGGCTGCGTCTTTTGCCTAAGGATGGGCAGCCAAACAGAAAAGCTTGGACGTGCATGTTCAAAATGCTGCAGTTCCCCTAAGTTGTCAGTGGAAACGAACTTACAAACTTGACTAAAACTTGTGTCAACTTGGCCTTGGATCCATGTGGACTTTGCAGGACCACACGATGAGGCCCCCTTTCTTTTTATTCTCGTGCCCTATACTATGGGCCTGAAGTTGTCGTGCTGCGAAACACGTCTGCAGACGGCACAATCGCTGCGTTACTACATGTTTTCCGTCAGTACAGCCTTCCAGAGACGATTGTATCGGAAAACGGACCATAGTTTACATTCGATCACTGCTGAACGTTGTGCACTAAAGAGAATCGTCTGCTTGGTAAAGGCTCCTTATCACCTCCAATCCGACGCTTATGCGGAGAAACCTGTTGATATGCTGGAAAGTGCCGCACTTGATTCTAGAGGGGAAGGGACGCTGAATGAAAGCCTGATAAGCTTATAGTTAAATTATTGGGTCAACCGGAATCCTAGCGTACTGGACAATAATGTACCATCCGACGTCCTCATTGCTCTACGCCTGGAAACCCCGCCGGATTGGTTGAGTCCTAAACTCTTAGCTGAATGACCCACAAAAGCAGTCATGGGATAATAATATAAAAGATGGTGCGGTGCTCTGACAAGCAATTCAAAGTGAGTGAATTTGTATTTGCCGCTTCTGTCCAGCGAAGCTGGGCACATTGTTTTCAGGAATTTTGCGGTCGCCTAGTGCGGTAATAACCCATGTGCAGATTGTTGCTCTACCGTGGAGACGTCAAGTAAACAAACTGAAGCCATGTTCCACACT